TCTCTCTCTCTCTCTCTCTCTTTCTCGCTCTCGCTCTCTGTCCCCATGCATTCTCTGTACTTGATTCTTTCTTACTATGAACGGATGAACGGAAATTCGGGGAAAGCGAGTTCAGAACGTCCAGGAGATTAAAAGTCGCCACTAATGTCGCTGTTTGGGCTGCGTCATTTCCTGACGAACGTTTGCGTGTTCCGCTCATATGTTCTGTACTACAAATGACAATTTTCGATAAAAATAAATATTAGGAAGAAAAGTAAGAAAAGCGGCCATCGTTTGCCTCCATAAATTTTCACAGTTTACATTATCGTCGTTTACATTATCTTCGACAGACTGAGAGATTTCGTAGAATTACTGTGCAAGAGATACCCGACAATTCCGAGACCGCATCTAGGGCTGACACTTTTGTACTATGACGAGTAACATTTCGAGTTCTCCAAGTGCGCGTGGGTAGTAGTTTGCTAGAACGGTAGGAGTGGGGAGTAGTTTGAAGAACGTATCGATAGAAAGGCGTACGACCTAGCGGATCGATTCCATCCAATAGTACATGCTCGATCAGATTATTAAAGCTCGGTAAACGGACTAAGACACTTTGATTTTTGTATGATACGACAGTTTATCATTTCGAGAGGAGTACTCTCAAGATGACGCATTTTATTTCAACGAAATAAAATATTTCGATTCTTGTTGCCTGTCGCATTATAAAATCAAACTTGGATGAGATTAGATGTGCGTACGCATCTCGTTATCTTTTCTGTTAGCAGAACAACGCTTTGCGAAACGGAAAAACAATACAAATTTACGAGTACATAAATGCTTCGCAAATATGTTGCAAATTTTCGAAAAAATCAATGTTACAGAAACTCTACAAATTTCATTTTGCATTACGCGATATTTACATTATTACTGTGTGTCAGAAAATAATAGGTAGAACGTCGAAATTGTTAATATATACAAGTGTCAAGAATAATGCGCATACGAGTTAACAATGCTGATGTCAAAACTGAGAGGAGGTCGAAACAGGGAAGAAAATCTATTAGCGGCTGAGAGTAACAAAAGAACATTTGTCAGAGGTCAATGGAAAGCATAGAGAGGAATAGCCAATCTCGCATCGGAACACCATGGCAATGCAAATAATTATGAAAATAGTTGAGATTGAGATATCGAGGAGACAGATCGCGAAATTTCTCCTGGCCTTCTCTAGCTCCGCATGGTCGATATCGCTTGACCCATTACGATGTTTCTATTTCTCTCCGCGCGCGCGCGCGCACGGTTGCACACAGATATCTTGTATTAATAAATTTCAATTTTGTTAGTTTCTAAGGTCAACATTTTATGCCTTTTGTATTGTTTGCGTGCGTGTTTCCTTTAGGGACAGTTATAAGCTATGGTGAATTAACAAGCGAATGGTCGTCGAGTGAGTTCAAGCGACCCCGACGACTGGACGCCTGTCGCAAAGTCAAGCACTTACGTCCATGGAAAGCCGGTGAATTGAAATTCGTCGGCCACGTGTCAGGTGAAGCACCCAGAAACGACGTTACGCACGTGCGCTCGTGCGACTCGTAACTAGATACGACGAGACAAAGTTCTATAGGGTTTATAGGAGGGTGATACGCGAGGTCGTGGCTCTCTTAGTACACGTGACGCACTTGTACATCACAAACGGGGTGTCGTCTTTCGGAATTGAATCGATTTGCGGCCTGAGTTCCTTGTTATACACACTTGTCCTATTTTAGTGCAGTGGGCCCGTAATACCGAATGATCTGCGCCGTAGTTTTAGCGCAAGTAAGATATACTCGATCTATAGAGATAATTTCAAATGGAAAATATATTTTCCAATAGAAATATTGAAAAGTATTTTCCCAATAAAAGTGAATCATTAACTTGGTAACGCGTCAACATAAAGAGTGTATGATAGATTATGTGAAATCAAATAACATACGTTTCTTTATTTGCTTGGTAATAGAGAAATTTGTATCTGATCATTGTTAAAGTAGTTTACTTGGATGTTCGTAATAAATTTTCTGCCATTGAAACGTAACAATATGTTCCGTAAACATATGTATATTTGCTGGTATTTCTGGCATGCGGTAATAATAAATTACGGAGATAACAGAATGTGAAAAACAAATTGAACTAGTGTTAACCGATTTTGAATAACATGT